CCAGCTTACAGAAACTTACAATGGATACTGGACTAAAACATATAAAACCAGCTTACAGAAACTTACAATGGATATAGGACTAAAACATTTCGTTTCTGCTGCTAAATCAAGATTTCTGTGACGTCACACAACTTGAAAATCGTTCAGTGGTGTACTTATTCTTATTCGAAAGGGTTTCTGTTAAAATCACACAATGTATGTTCCCCTAAGCCTTTAATAAACTATACATTTATCTTCATAATTTTTGTATGAATAGCGAACTGTGCTACGCGTATTAAGATATTTATCTGTGAGTTGTGCTATGCGTATTAAGATATTATTTGTGAATTATGCTACGCGTGTTAAGATAATTATTTTTCTGTGAAATGTGCTATGCGTATTAAGATATTTCTTTATATGTCAGTTATGCTACGCGTATTAAGATATTTATCTGTGAGTTATGCTACGCGTATTAAGATATTATTTGTGAATTATGCTACGTGTGTTAAGATGTTTTGTTCTGTTTTTATCTGTGATAATTCAAGAAAATACTGGGAATTTGTTCTGCCCTCTGATCTCTATTTACGTTTATCGAGTACGCGTATAAACATTGTATTCAAGAGGGCGATAATGTTCCTGTGTCTGATGGTTCCATTCGCAGTTCCGCTTCAATGTCATGTTTTGACTTTACATGGTTTAGATAACTGTTTATTCCATCATCAAGATCTAGGTTATCATATTCTTAGTCTATGCTTCAGGATCAAGATCCACATTAACATAGCCATAATTAAATTGGGTTTTACTTCCTGGTCAAACTTAATAGTCCCCCATGTTTCTTTTTAATATGATTATATACCCTGTTCAAAATAAGTTCTCACGGCTCTACTTAATGTGGTTCTGGTTCCCAGTCAAGCTGTAAGTCCTCACGGCTCTACTTAATGAGGTTCTGGTTCCCAGTCAAGCTGTAAGTCCTCACGGCTCTACTTAATGGGATTATATTTCCCAGTCAAGCTGAAGCCCTCACGGCTCTATTTAATGGGATTATACTTCCCAGTCAAGCTGTAAGTCCTCACGGCTCTATTTAATGGGATTATACTTCCCAGTCAAGCTGTAAGTCCTCACAGCTCTATTTAATGGTGTTCTACTTTGGCCAGCTTCTTTTTTAGTCCTAGTTTTAAGGTTCTACTTTTCGGTCGTACTAGTTATCATATTTTTGGCGTCTTAACAGTGAATAAATCATTAGCTTCTGAGTTCAAACTCAACTTTGGAATGTTCTAAGGAAATATACATTTGCAATGGAAAAAATTCGATTTTGCCACGATTATATGTATATATATATATGTATGTGCACATATACACACCAAAATGTATTTCATATTTCATGTAGGCCATTACTGCTTGTCTACTTATTAAAAGAACGTATATCGGAAACTGGAGATTTGAAAACTTGTGATATTTTTCTTTATGCATATATATAGTTGTGCCTTATTGTAAGACCATTGAGCTTTCTTTAAAAACAACATATGTTAATTAATTGGATATATTTTGCTGTAAAATATTTTAAGTATCAGTCATATTGGTTATTTTATTTACTATACCTATGTGTATGTAACCTGTTATTACATCAACAACCTTATGTTAATATCTCGTTTACTTTAATATCGTATACGTAACATGGCCATACGTGTAACAAATAAAGTGTTAGATGGAATGTTTCTTGGGATTACTTTCAAACGAAGTGAATATTAGGTTTGTCAGAAAAAAAAAGAAATGTAGCGATATTCTTAAAAGTTATGTCACTTAGCTGCTCGTGGCGTTTTTAAAATCAGATGTGCGGTAATTGTTAAAATGTTTTCAGAGTATTTTCGGTGGTTTTTGTGTATTGTTGAGTGTGAACATTGTTCACGACTTCGCAGTAACAGTACTTTAGTAAAAGTCAGACGTGTGTGTGTGTGAAATAGATCCCAGTTCTAGAAGTAAATGCAGAATAGGTGTTTAAATACTTAGTGGTTTAAGAAAAAAAAATTTAACCGGATTAGCTATGGGTTTCTACACGCTCACACCCTGACAATTGTTATAGTAGTACAACGTTTCCCATGTAAAATATAGATGTAAATGTGTGTAATAAACACGCTCACACCCTGACAATTGTTATAGTAGTACAACGTTTCCCATGTAAAATATAGATGTAAATGTGTGTAATAAACACGCTCACACCCTGACAATTGTTATAGTTGTACAACGTTTCCCATGTAAAATATAGATGTAAATGTGTGTAATAAACACGCTCACACCCTG